ACAATTGTAAAATGCAACTGTCAGACAACCTTTCTACCAACAACAGGTCCTTGAGTAAGCCAAGAATAGTGCAAAGTTTCTGCAGTGCAGTATTCACGGCTCCAGAGATCCTACAAACAGAAATTGCAGATGTGAAAATGAACTAATATCACAAACGAATGGGCATTAATCAGTAAACCTGTTCACTGACGACTTCTTCACTTTGCCGCTTTTTCCTATGCGCCTCCTTTTGCTGGCGGAGGCCATGTCATGATCGTGATCATCATCATCATCATCACCTAAAAGAGCATGTGGTACAGATCTATAAATCAGAATTAATTAGAACACAACTTGTGGAGTATAAATGAGAACATTGAAAGACAGCACAGCAAGCTGCAAGGCATACATACTAGAATAAAATCTAAGTTTCAGATGTAGGGAATGACATGCCATGCATGGAACAAAATATCCACAGCAAATGCAACTTCCAAATTAAATTGGAAAAACAACCTTCAAATGCCACATTTTCTACTGGTTTACTTGCGTTACGGTATGATGGATCATAAGCAGACATAACAGCCATCAATTGGTGCCTAGAAAACTCCAGAATTCTCTCAATTATCTGATTGAAAGAAGAGTAAAGAAAGAAATAAGTGAAAATATGGTCAAACGGACAATGATCTTATGTGTTCACTTCTTTACAAGGAAGTGTAAAGCAGTGAGCAGATAATAGACCTCCCGGAGAAAAATAACACTTAAGCAGCACTCACCTCTTCCTTGTAGAGCTGCTTTGGCATATCACTGTTTGCCATCACTGCAAGCGACGCATGGATTGACTCAAGGGCACCAAGAACCAACAACACTGAATCTGAATCTGACTGAAATGTTTTAAGTAAAAAAAACACAAACAGTATTTGTCACTTTTAATACAAAATGTGATAATTTTACACACAGTCTAACAATAAGAAGAACAATCATTAATGCATCCTTGCAAGTCTAAGAAAATATATTCCGAACGTGAAAAAATTACTGATTGAAAGCTAAATTGTATGATAAAATACTCCATGTGTCAGCTGCAAAATAGAGTCAAACAGAAAATTACTCACATGTTCACTATAAATGGACAAGCCTTCTGCCCTGTGTATCTGATGATCCAGAGTGTGCAATAACCTCGATAGAATATCAACAGGTACCATATGCAGAAGCATTTTTGACCGTATTGTCATCAATTCATTTACAAGAACACGGACTTCACCAACAGGCACTGATGACCACTCAGCTTCATCCCTATCATCACCAGGGACTTCAGCTCTGCCACAGAAGTCTTCCAACATCTCACAAAAACTTGTTACGATGGACTCTAAACAAGTATTAAGAAACTACAATTATTTAGAGGGTAGGGGTTAATGCAATAAAAACAAGGAAACGAGGAGAAAAAGACCTTGCAGCACAGATGGATCTGGTTGAACTGAAGACATGTCATCTTTACGTTTTTTCTTTCCCTTTGGCTTCTTGGAAGTAGAAATATCCTGCCATTTAAATTGGTTATATTCACACAGAAGAAAGCAACATGTAGATGAAGATTATGATACTGGGCTTACATTCATGGTAATCGTTTCAGGCCGAGAGTCATGATACGCATTAACATCTTTCGGTGACTGGTTTGGCAAAGGTTCGTGCTGCCAACTATGATCTTCGACATGATTTGATCGTAATTCCCTTTTCAAAGGTTCAGGTTGGATACTCCTAGCTAAATGATAATTGGTCTGCCGCTGAATCTTGACAGGAACACTTGGCTCAGAAGTTATCTTTTGAGGCTCTTCATTGGTAAAGACTGAACCGCACGTCGGACCTGATAAATTGAAAAAATGGTGATAAATTATAAATAAAACATAGTGAATCTATCATACACAAACGCAATAACAAGTTTTCCTGAGACAATAAAACAACTATTCAAGCTTAGCAAAATGGAAAAAAATAGAGGTACAATACCACCTGACTGGGTGAACAGAGAAGGAAGATGCTGCTAGGTTCAAACATTAAAGGCATCTTAAATGCGGACCAAAAATTCTAAACCTTAAAGGACTCTTCAGTATTTCCCCCGAAATCTGTTATTACTCTAAAGTTCAGCCAAAAAAGGAAAAATGAGAAGGTTTCATTTACCGGGGGTAACATACTCAAATGCTCCTGGATTGCATCGTAAAACTTGATCATATAACTGAAAATGCTCCCCGGAATTACAATTAAGAACCCTATCCTCGTTTCTAAGATCCCTGTAAGATAAATTCAGAGAAAAATAAGTTAGTGCCCTCTAGAACCATACTCTCGACATGAATTCCCCGGTGGAACAGAAATGCCCTCAATCAGTACTTAATTCAAGGTTAGAATTTAAAAATAACAACTAGCACAAAACAAACGATTACTGATCACTGCACCGGCAAAATTACCAAAATCTGAAGACGTAAACATTATCTAATCATCAAACTTCTTTATACAATATCAGCGAGTAAAACAACAGATTATTCACTGCTGGCACAGCTACTTTTTGTAAATTAGCTGATCCGTTAGCTTCACATATGAAATACGAGATTATCGACTAAACAATACTAGCAACGAGTTAGATTCATGTATGAGATTCTCAAACCAAATAGCACAGCACCAATCCAATTGACAAAAAAAAAAAAAAAAAAAAGAAGAAGCAAAAACTAGTTTCCCATGTCCAGAAGCGAATTATAGTTGCCAAATATGAAAAACGATAGATCGCTTACAGGTAAGAAACGTCAGTATCTTGAAGCATATTTGCGATTCTACTGGATTGCGCTAGAATCTCAGTGCGATCCAACGACCTGTAAGCTCTACCTTGGCCAACCTCATCGAACAATTTGAACTCCCCAGGTTCAGCCGCACCGCAGAACATAGGCAAGGACGGTAGGGGCAAGTAAGGAGCAACCTCCGACTGAACTGTATTAGCCAAACCGATCCCGAACTGAGTCAAGCTCGAAGTCGAACCCCAGCCGGAACTGCTTGAATTGCTCATCTTGGGATCGAACTGTAGTCACGAATTCAAAAATTAGGGTTTCTAGAAACTCAGATGCCAGAAATTTTGGAAGAATCAAAGAGGAATTGAAGGGGATTTGAAGAAAGTTCGAAGAGTCATAGAGAGAATTGAGACCTAGATTGAGAATTAGGGAAGAATTTTAGAGGAAATTAGTAAGATGCAATTGGCGGGGAAAGTAAATGAGAGAAATCTTCCCCTGAAATTTTCCTCTCCTTTTTTTTTTATGACATTAAAATGATTATTATGGTTTTTCCCATGAAATTATTGATTTACCCTCGACTATCACTTGAGAAGCAGTTACCAATCGTTGAGTGAGGCAGGGGTAGTTTCGGGTAGTTGAAAAATTATTTTCGTAGTTTTGATTGTTTTGAAACGAGATGTTAATTCATTGATGATCATAGTTTAAACGAGACATTCATTTTCTTTTTGTTGAAAACAAATATTTACATTTACATATTTTTATTATAATAATAATAAGGAAGTTTTGGGCTAGGCCTGTCTCCCATGAATCCATGATCCAGGACCAGTGTTTTTTAATCAAATTTTTTTTGCCAAAGATATGGCATTTTCATTTGCAAAAAAAAAAATGGTATAACTAGTTCCATTGGAAGATATGTGAAATATGAATGGTAAGAATCTATGAATTCTACGAAACTTAATTCCTCCATTAATCTTTCGACGAGATAATTAAAAGTCTGGAAGATTAATATCAGTGCCAAATATACAAGTTTTCATTTTTAAAGTTATACTACTAGTGATTTCGGCAACGTGGGAAAATATGACTCCACAATGATTAGGTTATCGTGTTGGAAAAGTACAGAGAGAAATATGTTGGGAAAATGCAACATCGGAATCTTATGGGAAAATGTTACTTTATATTGTAGGAGTGATCGAGTGTTTTTCATACTTTCATTGTCGAAAGTGTGACTGAAAGATTACTATCGTCACTGATTAAAAGTGAGTGAGGACGCATGTTGTGGCGATGGCGACGGCGACGGCGACGGCGATCACATCAAATCGATCGACCGATGTGATCGCCGTCGCGACTTTTCCTCGACCTCTCTTTAGATCTCTTCTTTTATTTTCTTTTTTTAGTTTCCATTCTTGTGTGTTTCCAAATTTATTAACAACGTACGTGTACCTCTCATACGGGTTTGAATTTAGATAATGACAGACACAGAGCATAAAACCACTAAGATCATCTATATATTTGTATGTCATGATTACTTTCTTAACACCTGCCTATTTTTACTACTTCAAGAATGGACATACATACTACTTCAAGTATATGTAAATTTTCCTACTTCAAGAATGGAATTTATGTACTATAAGGCAATTTAAGCTTCATTTTTGTTTGTTCCGGTGAATGTCGAGGGTCATTTCCCATGTTGTTTACGGTTAATCATTAAGGCTAATATTGAAGTGGATATGTATGGTTATTGAGTAGTCGTTTTTGTATACAATAGTCAACAATTTGTACATGTGAAGACGTAAGTACCTTTTATCAAAAAAAAAAAAAAATGTATCTTTATCAAACATTGGAAAAATCTAAGTAATACTATGGCTAATCACTTTACACTCTCTTTTTTTTATATAAACCTACGACTTTTTAAAAATGTTTTTAAACTTTTTCTTTTTTTGTGTAGTAAGATAATAAGTTCTAATTTATAAGAAATCCACAATTTATAAATAGCAGACAGGTTTTTTTTTAAAAAAATCGATTAAAAGTAGATAAATAAATATGTTGTTATCATGAGCTTATAAATTAAAAGTGATTTTTATAAGATTATTCTAAGAACGTATGCTAAATATGGAACATCACCTACTTTTGTATATTATGTTTCTAGATTTTTCGAACTGATGTACATGTCTTAATCTTTTTTAGAAAAATTAAATCCTCATATCGTGTAAATACATAATATTACCTCTCTATCATATTACACTCTTCTAATATTTCCTCTCTTTCTTGTATCATCATCTATACATTTTTCCAGTAGTAGTTACGTGGGAAAGATGGCTCGTGATTTTACGGAGGTTGCTGTAACCTTATTGGCCACCTTGACCGTCTTGGTCTCGGGACACCGACTCATGAGCACCGGTACTGCTACTGGTGTCACAGACGCCTGGGACAATGCTCGTGCCACTTTTTACGGTGATATAGAGGGTGGAGGAACTATGAGTACGTTTACTCATTAAAATAACACATACCTGATATATGATCAATATATTTTTTTTATTAAAAAATGTTAATAATAAGTTATTTAGAATTAGTATTATCATTAAGAGCAAAATAGTTGAAACTTTTTTTTTGGATGGGGTTTATGTCGTATAAAACAATGAATTGTCAAGTTTTGTGATACAATGAGTTTTTCAAATTTTGTGAACCAAAAAATAGTTTGAACTAATTATGTCATGCAACGTTGTGTTTGATCGCATACATATTTATAACAAATGGAGAACTAGATACGCTATATAATTAGTCCTACACACACATATATATATTCATGCATTGGTCAGTGTTAAATTGAATCTAAACCAACAATCTAATTGAGGTGTAAACAGAAGGAGATTGTGGGTACGGTAATCTCTTCGAGCAAGGCTACGGTTTAGAGACGACGGCTCTAAGTGCAGCTTTGTTCAATAATGGAGCTACGTGCGGTGCATGCTTCGAGATTAAGTGCGTAGACAATCCACAAGCGTGCATTGAAGGAGCCAAACCTATACGTGTCACAGCCACCAATTTCTGCCCAGCAAACTACACCAAAACAGTAGGTGTTTGGTGCAATCCGCCGCAGAAACATTTCGACCTCTCGTTACAAATGTTTCTCAAGATCGCTAAGTACAAAGCCGGAGTTGTTCCGGTGAAATATAGGCGAGTTTTATGCCCGCATAAACAAGGTGGTGTCAAGTTTCAGTTATCAGGAAATCCTTATTTCTTGATGGTTCTTGTTTACAACGTTGGACATGTTGGTGATGTGTCTGAGGTTAGGGTGAAAGGTTCCAAGAGTGGTTGGTTTCAGATGCATCGGAATTGGGGACAGGTGTGGGATACAGGCTTGAAGTTAACCGGAGAGAGTTTGTCTTTTAAGGTCACTACAAGTGATGGGAAATTTTTGAACTTTGAGAACGTTGCTCCACCTAATTGGCAGTTTAGTCAAACTTACGACGGCAAGCTTAACTTTTGATTGGGAACTCTTCTAATATGGAGTCTTTTTTTTTCCTTCTTAAATGTATCTTTAAAATTTAAGTATATAATAAGCCATTTATCAGACAAATATACAGTTTCTATATATATAAAATTGGTAATTTTAAACACTTTTAATCCTTACTGATATGGACATGGTAAAGAATTTGGATTTTAGATTTCTATACAACCAAGCATTAATTAGTTGATCATCTATTATTGAAGAAAAAATCGAATATATTTTTTTAGTTAATGCAATTTAATTTTCCGCCAAAGCATAATACGCAAATACAACCTTTCTAAATAGCCGTTTTTAAACAATTAAAAACAAAATTGATTCCCGGCAAAAGTATGATTAAGATTCAACATTTCCGAATATGAAGAGTATACAAAACCTTAAAGACAATAAGCTTTCTCCAGTAGAACTAACAACAGTCTCATTCCAAGATCGGGAATCGCTGATCAATATGTGAACAGAACATAAAATCTTGGGTGTATCTGAATTCCAAAAGTCATGTAAGAAAAGAATTAGTCGAATAATATTGGATTTCAGACATTTTAAGACTAATGTATTTTAGTGTAAGAAAACAAAATGGTCGAAGGATTTAGGATACCTTTTAAGAGATTGCTATTCCGGAAGAAATCCGCAAGTTAGAGTCTGCACCTCCACTGATTACGTTCTCTCCTTTCCACCAGTCCGCAGATAAAACCTTTAAATCCAAGTTTTTAGCCACCATTAGTAACGAAGAAAAACTATAAGAGTAGACGGTACAAGATAAAATTGTGTTTACGGTACCTTGTCACTGTGTGACTCGATAACTGATAATGGCCACTGTAAAAGGAAAAAAAACAATTGTTTCAAAAGAGAGAAAACAGTGGGTTATAACGGGAATAAGTGTGTAGGCTTAGTAATTACAGCGGTTCTGAGGTCCCAGAGCATGATTTTGCCATCATAGGAAGCAGAGAGCAAGTGATACCAAGAGCTTCTGTGCCATTTACAGGCGGAAATCCAAGACGAGTGTGAAGAGAATTGAAAAACGGGAGCGGAAGTTCCTGCAAAGTTAATGAAGAGAGTTTATCAACTGCATGACACAAACCCAGTCTGGTCACTGATTTGGCCTGTGTTCGTATGGATATCTCACCTGGCTTACGAGGATCCCATACTCTAAGTATTGGATCTGAGCCCCCAGCAGCTATAAGTGCAGAACCTTCCCCGCCAACATCAACCGTGTTGAGAGCTTTCCCACAATACTACAATTTGACAGAAACAAACCAACTCTAAGCTTCAGCGGAAATAACTTAAAAGCACTAATGTTTACAACAACGCCGTGTTCGGTGTATCTAAATATATGAGAAAGAAAAGAAGAGTGAAAAGGCATACCAAGTTTAATGAATCTTTCCCTGTCTCAACGTCCCATCTTCTTACAGAATGGTCCCATGAAGAGGAATAAATTACATCATGCTCTGGCCAAACAACTGATGATACACACTGAGTGTGTCCAACCAATGTAGTCACCGCCTCTCCCTGTAATAATTCAAAATCATAATTGATGTCAGACACTTGAACTGAGAAAACCAACTATTGAAATAATCCAGACTTTATTGGGCGTACCTCTGACTGAGATTCGTCAGCCTGATTATTCCCTTTTCTTTTCTTCACTGATACTGACTCCCCTTCTGAAGTAGACTGATTTGTGTTCCATAGATTGATCGTGCAATCCCATGAACTTGAGCAAACCTAAATTACATCATACAACAAAAAGATGGTCAGCTCGAAGGAATATAGCAAAGTCGTCTCGCTTGCAAAACACGAGAAAAGCGCAAGGGGTAAGAGCAAACCATGTCCCCCAATTTCTGAGCTGCAACACTTTGCACTGATGCCTTGTGCCCACGCAATATTTTGTAAGCCCTAACTCTTGTTGAAGAGTCAACAGATTCATCTGGATCAAACTTCAAACAGGAAGAGATGACTTTAGTCGCACGGAAAATAACCTTCAGTTTAAGTATGCTATAATATCCGTCTTTACCTTAAATAATCTCAATGTCCGATCTTTAGAGGCAGTGGCTACAGTAACAGTTTCTGCGTCTGGATGCACAAATCAACACAACGACTTAAGTTAGAAAAGGTAAGGAAGTGAAAAAAGGGAAAATCCTTCTAGTTAATATCATTTGTTAGTAACGAGCACGCATAGTATATATTTCTGATGCTATGCTCATACCTTTGGAATTAATTACAGCAACAGAGGAGATAGCCCCAGAGTGGCCTTCTAATATGTGTGAACACGATCCAGCAGAACTCCATACCCTTATCAAGAAGAAAAGATAAATAATCTAAGATTCTTGCAAATGTTGAAAGCAATACAAAAAGACAGAAGATAACTGGATTTATACAAGACTTCTATAGATGAATCAAATTATTACCTTCCTAAATTGTCATAGCAGCCGGTCAAAATGAACCTGAAAATGACAAAACCAAGGTCAAGACAACCACTAACACAAAGTTTAGAAACAAGAACACATGACCATATAAATCTTAAACAGTTATGCGGATCACATGAATTATTTAATTTAAAGTTAAATCCACAGTAGGAAAAAACTAAGAATAATTCTAACAATCAATGAAATGGCAGTGAAGTATCAGTTGATCAGCTCTATGATTTTCCATATGGCATCAACCACCAGGTGGTTTTGTAAAAAGAATTGCATAAGAAGTTGTAAAGCAATTTACTGGTGAAATAGAAAGAAAATTCATAAAATACGGCAACTCACAGGGCCGTTCTACATCATAAAGTAAAGCAGCAGAAAAAAAAAATTACCTGGGAGAAGAACCATTCACTGCACTGACCCAGTCATCATGCAACGAGGGTTCTTCCTCCTTCCTTGGTGCCACAGCCCTTATGTATTCGATTTCAAGAGTTCGCTCCTGCAAGAACCAAACAACGTAATTAAGTATATGTTTCCAAGATAAAAGAGCTATGGATTAATTATATAGCTGTAGAAGCCCCATTGACATTAAAGGCCACTTTGCTACGCCTCAAGAAATGAAATGTACAACAAAATTACACAAATCAAACTAATTGGTGTGAAATAGTAGAAGATTAGGATTCAAAAGATTACCGCAGATATTCCTTTGGCGAGCAGAAACTCTTCGAGTGACATTCGAATAAGCTCACCATCAATCAGGAAATCAAATGGCTCAGTTTTCCACTCGGGATTATCTGTTCATCCAAAGACAATCTTATATTATACCTCAATATATACTAATTACAAGAATCTCATAGAGGGCTAACACATAATCCAGGTAACGATTTAAAGGTGTTTTTATGTACGCTCTCTAATTCATAAGAACAATCAAGTTCCTCCTAAATAGACCTACCACTCTCCAGGTAACACTTTTTGACTTCTTCAAACACTAGCAATTGAAAACTAAAACCCCCAAAACATTGACGAGGTAAAGTTGGAGATAAAGGGAGGAGAGTCTACCCGATTCGATAATAGAATTGACAATGGAAGAAAGACCAAGACGAGTGACATTGGAAGGGATGGCGACGGAGTTGACCGGAACTTTGAACGGAGAGTCAAGCTTCGTCACGAACTTAACGTGAAGTCTTCTAGATACATCTTCTCCTTCGACATCCATTTTTTCTTTTGCCTCTTAGCTTCGCCGGTGGCCTGTTACGGAGTAAGAAGAAGACGCTGTGTATATTAGGGTTCTGGCTCGAGTGAGGAGAAATCACCCAGACACAAGGTTTAAGGATGTTAATAAAATTACCGAATTGACCTCCGTTCCGGTTTAGTTCAGTCCAGATACTACCCGAACCGGCCTGGAGATGCGGTTTGACAACTGTGATATATAGCCTATATAGGATCAATTTTGGGCCCATAGCATTTGGATCTTTAAGATAGGCCCATCTCAGGCTATAGTTATCTAACAGAGTGGGAATGGTAAAAGAAAAAAAAAACCCATTGAGCCCTCTCATATCATTTATAGACAGCTTTTGTCAATTTTAAACACGCTTTTTTTTTTTTATTGGTTTGCTGTAAAATTTAAACTTAATATGAACAATTTTTTTTTCAGTTATATAATCAAACGCATGAAATTTTTGTTAAATAACTTGAATTTAAACAAAAAAAATCTTTGGTCAATAATTAGAAATACTAAATCCAGGTCTATAAGAATTCATTTTGAAAATTTGTCTTTATAGTTGAAGAGATACTGAATTTGCCATTAACAGTAACAAACCAATCAAATACTTATTAGTGACTTTTCATTAGGGAGTAAAGAGTTTGCTTTACTGGAATTTAAAATTAAATATAGCAAAAATTATTTGTAATTGAAAAATAAGAAGAGCGAAAAAAAACATGAAAAGAAGGACACGTGTCAGAATAATAGCGCATCGTCACGAGATCGCTATCTGCTCGGTCGTGAAATTATCATTCCCTCGTTCCTTTAATCATCTGGTTCAGCTTATATAAGTTAGACGAGAAACTCACTTTTTTCAATATCTCTCTCTGGATCGAGGGGTTTAAGCTGGGTTTTTTTTTTTTGTTGCCCTAGAATTTGGCGCCTTTCTACTTCGATTTGCGTTTCTTGGTACCTCCGTAAGCCATAAATTTTTTTCTCTCCCAATTTTACTCTATTCGTTAGGCTTTCCCATTGAGTTCCTTCGCTAGTGTTTGCCGGAGTTTGTCTGGTCCTTCCTCATAGTTGATTCTGCTGCTCCGGGGGGTTTTTACATTGGGGAAGTCTTCTTCTCCGGTAAGCATTTCGTTTCTGTTTAGCGGATTCGTTTTTAATTGGTCAATTCTTATGCCGTGAACTGGAGTCGCTGAGTTTCTAGGGTTTTCGCTTAGGGGAAAGACTATTGTTTTTTTTTGGGGTAAAGGATTGATATTTATCTAAGTTCATTTTTCGTTTCTTGAATTGGGCAACTGGGTTCTTCTTATTTTTTGTTCTTGTATATCTCCTTGGTTTCAATTTCTGTTTAAGCTATATATAGAATTTGATGTTTATTTCTACCTCTTGTTGCTTTTAAGGTACCGAGGTGAGAACTCCGTATGGAATCAGCTAACCAGTTTTGGTCTTAAAGGAATGCGCATTTCGTTGAGTTGATTCAAGAAATGGTTCTACATGTTACGCTGTGTAAAGTTGTAATAAAGGTTGAATATGACCAATGGAGGAGGGGAGGGTGGAAGTCAGCGGAGAGAATTACACGGGAAAAGAAGTGTTTTTCGTGGCAATGATTTTGCATATGCTCTCGCTAGAATGGCCGTGGCGCAGATATGTGAGAGCGTTGAGATGAATAGTTATCAGGAATCACAGACGCGCGAAGGTGTGAGATTCAGTTCTTTTCAAGAGACTGCTCTTGAAACATTAACTGATGTAGTGATCCAGTACATCCAGAACGTTGGCAAGACTGCACAGTTCTATGCTAATATGGCTGGTAGAGTAGAAGGTAATGCTCTTGACATTGTTCAAGCACTAGAGGATCTGGGATCTGGACTGGGTTTCGACGGTGCTCATGATGTTGAGCATTGTCTCGCTGATTCTGGTGTAGTCAAGGATATTATTCGTTATACTGGAGAAGCGGAGGAAATGCCTTTCGTTTATTCCCTTCCCCCTTTCCCTTTTAATAGAGGAAAAAGACCAGCTCCTAGCTTTTTCGAGATCGGAGCAGAGCCACCAGATGAGCATATTCCGGTTTGGCTTCCGGCATTTCCTGAAACCAAGATGTCTAACGGGTCAGAAGAGACTAATGTTGACAAAATAGAAGGGGATGTGGGAAGTAGAGAAAATGGACCCTCTTTGACGAGTATGCAGCAGTCTGTTGACGTTGATAGGGTAAAGATTCTGAAATCCATGGATCAAAAGGAAGTTCAGAAACCAACAGAGGAACCCGAAGGTAACCCATTTCTTGCTGCACCACTTTGGGCTGGAGAGAAGAACGTGGCACGTGTGTTTTTCCCGTCAGAGCTTAGAAAGGAAGAAATTAGCATTAACCATGTCCCTGAGAAAAGTATGAGCAAGAGCTATCACATTCCAGCACTTGAAGCATATCCTCCATCTGATAAAATCAACGAGAAGAACAGATTAGCTGAAACCCAAGATGGAGACGAAAGAAACGGTACAAGAACACAACGAGGTTTGCTTCGTTTCAAGATTGAGACTCGAAAAGCCTCTCTGTGTTGGAAAAGAAATCAGTGCTTAGATGAAAAGGGTTGGTTTCAGGAGGATGGAGACAGGAGGGAGAAGAAGGTAGAGCGGGAAGAAAAGCCAGAAAGTGTTGACACAGATGTAAAATAGGTATTTTGTCATTTAGAATGTAGACGGAATATCTTTGAATCCTGAGTTTAGTGATAGTTTGCAATTGAATACCTCTTTTAGGGAAAGTGATTTTTTTACCGACTCAAACTGCTACAGGAAGAGAATGTGTTCGGTCTTTAATATCATTTGATGGTGAAACATTCTTTTAAAAAATGAAAATACAACATCCTCAGTTCTAGTTAAACTTGATTCCTTCAGGTGTGACAGAGTTAGTAATTCAGTCTTTAATTCGGAATGGTTGGAAGAGAGGTGGTGTTTGGTCTTTTTTTCAGTTGAGGTTTGCTGAAATACTCTTCTTAATGGATATTATATTATTGAGCTTTATCTTGAGTTGAGTCTTTACATAAACAATTATTAGAAGAGAACATAAGAAAGGGTTCAGAGAACCAAGAAACCAAATGTTCTCAACTCTGTAAAATGGATGATTTAGATTCCTTGATTTACAATTCTAACTGAAGATTAATTAGGAATATTAGCAATGGAAAAGCTGCCTTGGTTGCCCACTGAGCATTCCTGGAAAAGCTGCAACTTCGCTTGTCACAACTTCACTAATCAAGTCCTTGAAGATTAGCCTCTCAATGTCTAACACTAACCCTGGTGTCTCTCCTTCAATCTCCTTCCAGTTCATGCCATGGCTTTGTAGATCCTCCCAAATGAGGTCTTCATCGTCCTCATCCAAGATACACTTAGAGTTTTGTTGTAATCGATCAATCTCTGAACACAGAGTTTGCAGAAGCTCTTTTCCTCTTGAACTTTTTTCGGTTATCCGTAGTGGGCTGATTGATGATGTTATGGATGGTTGCTTCGTACACCCGTCTGCAGCAAACCTGCGAGCTAAGATCTCGTTGATGGTGTCAAATACAAGCTTCCTCTTGCTTCTCTCTATCAGGTTCGCTGTTTGTTGTTGTCCGAAGCCTCTGCCTTTGTGCTTGTTGTCATGGGGACTCACATTGCTTGTCTTGTTTTGTTCCAGTACAAAGAAAAGGCTCGGATTGATAGGTAGGTGTGCTTGGTGCAGCTGAATGCTTATCATGCTGTAGTCGATATCTCTTAGGAGCCCCGATGCCAACAGTATCTCTGCGATGTACTTGTGGTCACCATTTCTGAATTCAGCATCTTCTTCCATGAAACCCTCAACAAGTTCGTCATCAGGCTGCTTAAGACTCGCGTTACTTTCAGGCCACACAATTGATCTACATAAGTTGCTGTGCTTGTTCATCCACTGGGACTCTTCGGAACTTAGATTGTCGTCCTCTGTGGCAAGAAAGATAGTAAAGGTGAGTATATTAGAAAAATCAAAACTTGCAATTTATTTAGGATATATTGTGGATAAAGTAACGAGTTTAATATCAATGAAGTTGTAGTTTAACCAAATTGATAATATATATTTTCTATGCTCGGAGAAAATTTGATATAATAGTCTGAAATTTTTTGAACCTTGTTCGTGACTCACCTTTAAAGACAATGGATATCTTCCTCACAGGGGATGGTGACTCATCTTCGTCGAAGGCTACATCAAGAACTGAAACTGGACTGGGCTGCTCCACTGTAACTTTCAGAGGTTTTGGCAACGACCTCATTCCCAAGTCTGGACTCTGCATTGATAAATAGATGAGATTCTGTGAAACATGCATTAGTGAATAACTTGTGAAGTGAATTTTCAATAGGAGAAAAGTTGATACCCTTTGTTTCGGGGTGTGCTGCTCTGTAACGTCGCTATTCCTCTCAAAGTTGTACCTGCTTGTAACCTCAGTATCAAGGTTAGAAGCCAAGCTTACGTTGCTGTCAGATCTTAGACTTCTCAAGTCACTGCTTTCATCACTTAAACGGTCTTCAGATTGCTGTAGGCCACGAGATTTAATCCCTGATTTTCTTCTCGGGGAGCCTGACTCTGTCTGTTGCCTACTGAGTTGTTGTCTCTGGGTCTTGTTCGGATCTGGTTTTGGAGATGTAGGTCGAGACTGCTTCTCGAACCCGAGCTTCTTTGGTGGTGTTCTTGGGCTGACACTAGGCTTCTGGATCTTCCCTGACTTGGCCATGTCGCTCTTCGACTGTAATGGTCTGGTGCTAGTGTTTTTCATTGTGGAGTCTGTCTGGCCCTTGTAAAATCCCGGCCTCGGGGTTACATCCATGGCACTCTGCTTCCTCGGAATGACTTTCTGGATTTGCCTCAGGTTTCCAACCTTGACATTTGTTAAAGCAACACTCCGTGGGGAGAAAGAGGTAGAACCAGAAATGCCTGTCTCTTTGAAGACTGGAGCCGCAGCTGCTTTCATAACCACAATAGAGGAAGATTTGAAATTCTTGGATGACGGGTTTGTTGCAGATGGAGTTGGCTGATCAGTTATCTGCATAAAATTGGTTGAACATAGAGTTTTGTTGTCATCATCTTTGCTTATCACTAGCTGTGTCTTCTCCATTGCGTCGAGTATTTGCTTAAGAGCTCTGAGGTCTTTCTCGGACTTTTTGAACTCAAGCTGCGAAAGCCGCTTCTGTATCTCACCATAAACTGTCAGCGTAGTAGCATCTGTTGCTTTGACTTGGTTCTTGGCACCATCCACTTGCGTCCATGGAGCTGCTTTCATAGGAAACTTAGCAGGCATCATCTTTTTGATTGAATCAGAACTTTTTGATCTCTGCAGATCTACTTCCACTCGGGAAGTTGGCCTTGGGGAGTCACAGAAACGATTTTCTCTATCTTGAACGGTCACAGGCTCGTCAGGAATGACTTCAAGGCCCATCAGTTTTGCAACGACGCTTGATGTTGTTCTTCTGTGACCCGTCACAAGCTCTTGCGGCTCTGGTGAACAACTAGATCTTGCGCTCCTAAAGGAATTCGATCTACTGTCTAATGACAGTCTCGGGGTTTCTTTCAACTTGGCTCCTGTCTTTCTCGAGTCCCTCTCATCATAAGAGAACCGAGGACTGTCCTTCAGCTTCACTACTCTCCGCCCGTCGCTCCATTCGTTAGACTTTCGAGAAGGTGATGATTCTTTGAAAAGAGACACATTAGCTCTGGCTGATTTTGGCTGCTCGGACAAGGCTTCATCATCTCTGGCTCTTGTCTCCTTATGAATGGAGCTTTTCACAAGCTCCCTCAAGTCACTCGGCATCATTAAACCACCCCACCTCGGTGAGCCATTGGTCGGTTCTCTTACTGAATTCTCACCATTACTCGTTTGAATCAAACCAGGCTGTTCAAACTGAGAAGCCGTGGTGCTAACATCTGCAGATGAGAAGCTAGAGGAGCATGGTGAAGAAGAAAATGACAACCTCGAGGACGATTCAGAGGAGACTCCCTTCTGCTTCTCCTTTGCAGCCTTCTTCTTCTTACTCTTCTCCTGAAATTCCAGTAAAATTTCACTTTTTAAAAATCCATATCGTCCATGGTAATTAATATATCACTCTAGTCTACTGGTTACTGATTCTTACCGTTTCCTTCTTATCTGTGGAAATGTTGATATCACCGACATTGTCACTTGTTTTGCCTGCAAAAGAATTCCCCACCAAAATTAACTTTTAACCACCAATACATAACATACTTCTGTAAGGTATACACCTATATAGAAATCTAAAGACAAGACATGTTCTATAGCATTGGTTTCTTTCATCTTTGTGGTCCTGAACCTTGGATTTAGGATCTTAGTCAGGAACTAAAATACAAAAGTAATGTATTCTGTTAAAGAACTTTTCCTTTGTAACGTTTAAGTTTTCCACTTTAAGGTTTTAATGGAGAGGACATTGCAAGCAAAGACTAAAGAGAGAAGAGAGAGAGAGAAAGAGAATGTTACCTGAAGGCAGAGACTTGAGCTCATCTCCGGTGACGGCAACACGTCTCGGTGGATAATGTTGGCGGTAAAACACCTGAAAGATCCCATTCATACATCCAATCTGTTTATTCAGATTTGGATTTTCATCTGACAAGTTATACAAAAGCTTAGCCGACATCTTTTTCTTCTTTGTCTTCTCTACTCTTGTCTCAGAAAGTGTTTTGACTCTAAAAAAAAAAAACTTGGAAACTTTTAAGATTCTCTCATTATGAAATTCATGAAAATCTCAAGTTTTCTGTACTTTTCCTCTGTTTTTGTGTCTCAGAGGAAGTAGAAGACGGAGAAGAAGAAGAAGAGACAGGAGGAGGACAAAGAAGAACCCAGCATTAAGACAAAGGTAAAGCTACTTGTGAAGTTATGACCAGACAAGGAATTAGGTTTCTCTGTATCTGTTATCTTGGAGGGTTCCTTGAAGAAGAAAGAAGAGAAGAAGAAAAAGAAAAGAAAAGAAAGATAAAAAAGAAGTTTGTTTGTGGTCTTTGAGAGAAGTGAGTCCTGTAAAAAGGCAAAGAGCTCTCTGTCTACAATTATATGTAGAAGCTTTTCAAAAGCATATATAAACATCGGTTATGTAATAATGCTCAATGTACGTAGGCACACACATACACATGCGTGTACACATGTATTCGTGTGTATCCGTATAGATTTATACATGTAAGAGAATGTAAATGATTTTATTTTAATTTTTTAAAATAAAAATTTATGACAAAGCTCTGAAAAAAATCTGCTTGGGAATAATGAGGTATCTAGTTTTTATGCATCTCTGATGAAAGTGATGCACATGAAAAAGCACAGACCAAAATTAAATTCTTTTCTTTATTCAAGAAGATAGAAAGAAAAATGATATTTGGATAAATCCCTTCAGTTTCTATGGTTTATTTATAATTTTATACTAGTATATGTTTTCAATCCTAGAAGACTTATGTACATATGTTTATATAACAGGTGGGTGGGTGGATGTATGTTTGCTTCTTTTTATGGTTACCATACCACAACCAATGGTGAATGCATCTACTTTTTATTAATATCTTTACAAACAAAAAATTAGATATTACTAACAACAATGTTAATAATAATTAATGAACTACAGAGAAAGGAAAACAATAAATGAAAAGTAAAAAAGAAAAAAGAAAAGAAAAAAGAGGTTGTTCTTACACATCCATGTGGACAAAATAATGTGGGTGGGTCTCTTAAGTCTTTGGTGCCCCTTCACATATGCATGTGGAGTTTGTCAGAGACAGACAACAGACTATTTATTTATTTTCAAAACAATTTTATATAGGTGATGAGAGAAGAAGAGAAAAAAAAAAACTTATAGGAAAAATATAAATAGAAATTAGATTTACTAATGGAAGAAAGAAAAAACAAAAGTTAATAATTAATTGTTTTAGGGAGGAAGTGGATTGGTGAACTGGAAGAAAGCTTGCATGGTCTGAGATTGGTGGGTCTTACAAAAGAATAATTTTCTTTTGGCTTCACAAAATAAATTATCTAATTCTTGAAAATATAATTCTTATTTTTGTAAAGTTTTTTTTGAATATTTCCGGATATCTTTTAGTAGTCGTAAGCATTTCGAATTACATCTAATTACCTTTACTCATCTCGTTTATATTTTTATGAATTTTGTTATAAAAAAGTTACCGCGTAAATTAATAATGATTTAAAAAGACTTCTAATAACTATTAAATTACAAATATGATTTAGAGATGTTCAAAACTTAAATATTTTCCAAAACAGTTTAAGACTTTACGTATATATGTACAACCTATAAATTATTGCATTCAATCACTCTTTTGTCTATGAAAAAAAAGAGAGTAATTGATTGCGTATGAAATACTACTATATAATAAGTTTCTTTCATTGCTTTTGGAATAATAGAGAACTGATGAGGAATTTAAGTTTGTATTATCAGGTAGGAGATATAATGTCTTTTTGGTGTTTTATTTATTTATTTTATTTTGTTGGTAAAGTCTAGCTTTTTGGGTTTTTGTTTTGTATGGATTATGATAATTTGATTTGAGAGTTTCATGTCATGCGATGTACTAGTTAAAAAGCGTTTGGGCAGATCACGTGGTTTTGTTCAGCTATGTGCTGTGAACAAGGTGGGGCTTTCTTAACTTAACTTAAACTTTATTTATTTATATACTTTTAATTCAAATGATTTGCTAACTATTATACTTTATATTTAATTCTTTAATTAGCTTGTGGTCTTGGAAGTAACCAAGGAATATGCTGCACATGGTCAATTAGTGAACGTTGCGAATCAAGAATCATCATCTACACTCTCGCTCGTTACCAAGCAAGCGTGTTTAATTAAGATTCTTATTCCTAACTACAAGGGATTAATTACTACTAATCAGAATCACTAAGGTTAATCTAAAGATCGTTTATATTTTTTCTCTACACCAAACAAACAAAAGACAGATTACATATCAATCATGCATCCATGAGCTGGTTTCAAACAACTTAGTATAATACTACATACATACGTAGACTATAAAAGATATGTTTTCATTCCCAACGATGTTGATTGGTTTAGAAACGTGAGAAAGGGAGAGGAAAAACAAGAGGGTAAAGAAGTTGAAGATGGACTTTGATTGTTTTGGTAATGTGCTTTTCCAAGTTGACTTTTGTTAGCATTGACCCAATTCATCCCCAAATCGGTACATGTAACACACGTCAAGCACGCCATGCATCCTCTATGACATCATGCATATTGATGAACACATCCACTGAGAATCATTTATGTTACAAAAATTCATATGTCCATGACCCATATGAGAGTGTGCATGTATACTAATTATTACTACGACGTAACTAGATGGAGTTGTAACAAAACCAAAGTAAGTGTGTTTAGACATGGGTAAATCCATTCATAAACCTATGCTTTGGAAACAAAAAGAAAACTAGTGGGAAACAATTGGCATGTGAAATTATAAAAATGACATGTGAAATAAATTAAAGGGACAAAATCACATGAAGCAATTAAAATTCACTTTTAATTGAAATAATACTGTATATTAATTATTTCTTTACTTCAAATAAAATCAAACCTCATATATAGTGAGGTTTTTTCAAATGATTTTTTTTTTTGGTAAACCCCAGTTTCATTTTCTATTTTAAAAATTAAAAATAGGTGGGACATGATTTATTCCACTTTATCATCCACCCTTTCCACATTTGTTTAGTTTCGCTATTAATCTCAAGTATAGTCTTTGACGTGCAAAACTACATGCACATATCATTACTATACCGTAATAGTTTAATTTTTAATTTTTTACTTCTTATTTGCGAGTGTAACTTGGTTCTTTAGCTCAAATCACAGACGAGGCCTCATAGTAACACACTATAACAATTATAGCTTTATAGTATAATAGATAGATAGAGATAATTACATAACTTTACTGAAAAGAGTGGGTATGAATTTAAGCCTTAACACTAAGGAAAATGAGATTTAATTTCTTCATATATGTGTATGCAAATAGGCAGACAAGGTACTAAATTCTGTCATAGAAATGCGATTCGTGAGACCGTTTTTAAGAAAATATATATATCCCTAACTTTTAAGGCATTGCTTAGTGATTAGTTAAAAGCAATCTTTCATATAACGTACATACATACTGTTTCGCCACACATATCAATTAGGTCAACTCGTCAGGGAATAGACAATAGAGACATCGTCGAGAAGATTTTTGTGTTCCCAAAAAAACGAAAGGCTAGTATTGGCAAGTAGTCGATAAATAAAACCCCAATAAACTAGATTAATTAAGGACACTAGACAAAATCTCATTATAGAACTTCATAAAGTACTACAGAATATTACAATATTAATGTCGTATTAACTTTTAGATAATATCCAATTGATGCAGGAAATACATGACATGAATTAAGTTAGGCCAAAACGTTTCATAAAGTACAAGTGAAACTTATTAGAAGATTTATAAAGGTGGGGAAGAAATGAATTATGGTCGAATATTTACAACAAACGAAGACAACTATTCTTAAACCAAATCTTATATCCACAAAAGCCTTATATATATATACCCGGATGGTGATACAACAAATGCATTGGCAAAAAAATTATATATATATCGTCAATGTGGATTTGTGATCTAGATTGATATATGCATGTGCTTGATGAAAAAATATAGCACAATTAAGATTCACTTTTTGATTTTATCTCCTCTTTAACATCTTTAAAAGGAAGGTGTTAATTCATGAGCATTTAGTTATAAGTTGAACCAAGCCATTACTATTAGGTACATTCTTAAATGTTTTTTTTTGTGTGTATGGATTAAAAAGGAAAATAACAAAAGCCAAGAAACAAATTACCAAATTAAGGCATGCAAGTTTTGGAAATTAGATTATATTTTTTAAAACTTTAATGTCTTAAATAATACTAATTTTCATCATATGCACATGGCAATTTGGTGCTTCCTTCACACATACTTAAAAAAAAAACTTGCTACAATAATATAAAAGAAGTTGGTTAAAATACGAGCCAGCACTTAAGTTTTTTTGGGTGGAAGGATCTAGTGGTTAATTAAAAAATATAATCACTTTGATATTCCCTAAGTACATAATCCTAATCTGCCCACTACTACTACCAAACTCTATTTACGATGACTGCCTCATTGGAAAGTACTAAAATCAAATAATGATATAGAGTATATTGCCCGTAACTAACTAACGAAGAGTAGATTAAATATTTTAATTAAATGGACGATGTATGTGTACAGTTCTGAGTCTTTCAGACAGGCTATGAAGGATTCTATGATGATTTTTAACAATCTTTTTTACGATTTGATTTTGTTTGGTATGATTTGATCTTGGAAATTATTGAAATGGATGTCGTATATTTTCACATTGATCCACACCACAAGTATTTATTATATAAAACTCCCATCATATGTATAATAATACCACATGTTATTCATTTCGTGTAAGAACTAGTTTTCATACATAATTATTAACTGTTCCATAAATATCTTCATTACTCAAAGAAACTATTGTATTAAGGACAACCACAAAGTCGAGGACATCAAAGAAATGAAATGCTCATTTCAGCTAGTGAATATCGCAGGGAGGGAGTAAGGTGGTGTGAATATATTCATCGGATGGATAGTTGGAGACCGATGAGTATCGAAAAGAACCTAGAGCTAGCTCCTCAAAGTCACAAGCTAGATCAACAGTAGTGCTAGTTACCAGATAAACTAATTAATTAGCACATAGTTTCGAGATGAATGTTATAAACTCTAGCTACATAGTTTTATGTAGAGTACTTAGTTGCGTATCTAGACGCCGTTCAATGGTACACCATTAAGACAGACACTTCATGTTTAGTTTAATAAAGGTTTAGTAACGTTGGATAATACATAATGGTCATAGAAAGCTTAAATGGACTCCTCAGTCCTCATATGTACGTAGTGTTTGTTTAATGATCAATAGAATAATCAAGTTGTTCCAATCATATTGGCATTCCCTTTTGATCTAATTAAGCCAAGATTAAAAAGCGCACAAGTTGGTGTGTACCTTGGAACTTCTAACCAAATTCATCTTCTTCTGATTTTTCGATTAATTAGTTCGTTTATTTCCCCAAAATAATTTAAAAAAAATGTATATATTTCAACACATGTGAGGGAAATAATCGGAAAATAGTAACAATAAATGGAAAATATAACATAGTACATGTGAGGGAAATGTATAACACAATCACGTCCAAGATAGATGAACTGATCGAGAGCATGTAAGCACCATCATATAGGCCTTTTGAAAAGAAAAAAAAAAAAATCCATCCAAAATGTTGCAACTCTCTCTTTTATTGACTAACGCATTAGTCACCCATACGAGATGATCTAAGCCACTAGAAAATATTATAAGTGAACACTCGCTAAAGGATATTCAGATGTAAATGATAATAAGCTGATGCTACCAAATTTGGTTATATAAAATCAACAAGTAATAAAAGAGTTTCCTTGATTCATTGCTTGCAGAAAAATATCGAGCCATCTTAACCTATGGCTTGGTTTATTATACAATTCCATAGAAAGAAATAAAAAAATGTAGTATGAGTATATGTAAATTTATAAGACAATTAAAAAACGAATATATTTTCTTTCATAAATGTAGGAGAGAAAAATCAGATGTAAAAGTGAGTGAGAGAGGGAGGAGGGGATTGTAGTTTGTACAGGTATCCTCCTCAGTCCTCACATGTCCATTGCCATCCTTCAACGTCACTTAATAAAAATCCTTAAGTCAACGAGAAAATCTCATCCGTAGGATGTGATGATGATTGATGGTCATGATCAATTTCATGAGTGATGATCGTCCTACATCTTTTGTGATGGTCCCTCACCTCATGGGCCTTCTTTCTTACTCCCCTCCCCCTTTCAACTCTTTTGGTTTCCTCCTCCTTTGTCAGAGTTTCTTCTTTGTTTATTTTTATTTATCTATTTACAACTTCTCTTTTTGGGTTTATTTATCAACAACTAAAATGAAAAGCTGACAAATAAAAATAATATTAATTTTGCACTACTTTGATAAACTTCTAATTTTGCCTTTTAAAAAAAAAAAGTTACAGAAAATAATGTTATAAAATTAATAAGAATTATAGCGAATATAGCCCAACAAGTTGAATTGAATGTAGCTCAAAAGACCATTGGGCTTACTTTTGTAGTTTCCTCTATCTTTCTCAATATTCCTAAGCCCGTTTCGACACTTCCAACAATTTTTTCACCTTTTTAAAACTCTATATAAATCTTGTATATACAGCTAGAATTCCAAATGGAAATATATAAATATTGTTTCATGGTCTCCTTCTTTGTGCTGTCACATGATCAAATTGAAAGTATAGAAGAATTTTGTGGGTTGTCATTATTATTTCCTTGAGATTCAAATACATTTTTAATCTATAAAAAATAATGTCAATATTTAAAACATAAATAATGTTGTAAACAGCTTTGAGTCAACATGGATAAAAATAATTTATCCCTTTTTATTAAAACGGCCTATGATTAATTTCGGTCCCTCAAACCGAGTTAAACCAATAGAAAACCGGTTTAAATTTCACCAAACAACTAACCACACACGTGCGTACCATAACTTCATGTCTGTTTCTTACCACACATTGTCTTACACGTGGATATTATATATATACACATTCTCATATGTGTATCTCCCTCGTTCCTCTGTTTCTCTGCCTTAACTTGCGGCCAATCGTAGAAGAAGAAGAAAGAAAAATAAAAAACAAAGGTAACCGAATTCGCTCTCTCCTATGTGTCTTCTTCAATGGTTCACAACGATTCAAATTCGTTATAGATCTATTGATCTTGATTTGTTCAATGTTACACATTGTTAGATTTTCAAGAATCGGCGGCGGAATATTCTCGCCGGGAAAATGGGGAAAGCTAGAGGAGTTAACAGCGGAGGTGGAGAGAGCTCTCTCGGTTATCTTTTTGGTTCCGGCGAGTCTGTTCCTAAACCTAACAAGCCCAATGCTAACACAAGCTTTACCACAACCACGACCACCACAACAACAACCGATGGAGCTGGAGGTAGATCCAAGACCACCACCATAACCACCACCACGGGAGATAAAAACAAGTCCGGTGAGCTCTCGGCCGGTGTAAGAGGAAGTCCTAATAATTACTACAGATCAGATGGACAAAACTGTGGCAACTTCATCACGGTAATAAGAGTTTGACATATTTATATATTTGAGATTTCGAATTGGTTATTTTTTTTTTAAAATGTCTGTATTGGTTTTGAGAAACAGGACCGACCATCTACGAAAGTTCATGCTGCACCAGGTGGAGGATCTTCTCTTGGTTACTTGTTTGGATCTGGTCCATCTGGATCTGACAAATGATCTGAATCTCCACGACGCACTCTCAGCATTTCATAATCCGTTGAAAATGAATTGTAAAAATTGTAACTTTACTATTTACTATCCTTGAAATTGGCTGTGAGGATTGTTTTGGATTTGGACGTTTCTTGTGTTCTTGAAAAAGGAAGAAGGATATGTCAGTTTAATGGTTCAAAGCTAGAAGCTTACTCAATCTTGAAAAACATTCTCAAACCTTGCTATTTGGATTTACAAATATTCAAGATTTTATCTCTGAATCTATTAATCCCATATATATATATATATATATATATGATTCTATTACAGTAGATTTCATGTTCCTTTTAGCCACCAGTCACCATCTCATTGACTAATTTAACAGCTTCATGAAATTTCAATTCACTCTTATTGTATAAACAAGAGTCTACTGTCTCGGACTAGTTCAAAAACATGGATGTTCCAAGTCAAAACGATTTGGTGTTTCATCTCATTAGGTTTTGCTTGCAGCGTCGATCTATGGAACATTTGTTATTTGAGATTGTATAATAATACAGCAATTGTACAATCTTCGAACCCGATCGGAGAACGGTGGCTCTAGATCCTTAGTTCACACCAAATGAGCTAGCCGAGAATTTACTTATACGATTGATCCTGACCGTTGGATTGCATTCGTTAACTATGGCGATCCACGGATAGCCGTTGGATACAGAAAACCGTTAATTTCCCTCGTCGTTTTATTAGACCGGATCCGGTTTAATTATTAACCGAAAAAAATGAAGCATCGACTAGGGTTCCCCATCAGTTCCTTTGTTGCTCAGCTGTTGGGAGAAGAACTTGTGCTAGAGATTTAGGATTAGCGTTAAGACTCAGTACTCAGTACTCAGTAGAGGAGATTTCAAAAACCCAGAGCAGAGAATGACGACGATTGTTCCCACCTCTGAAGAAGATCCTTCGCTCGCCATTGTCCGTTTTACTTCCCAGCTTGCCTGGGCCGATGCTGGTCCCGAGGTACCTCCTTACTTGTTTCTGGACCATTGACAAGTGCAGACGATTGAGTATATTTTGATTATTTCACGCTCCACTGCATTGTTGTGGGGGTTTATGATCTCTTCGTTGCCAGTATCGAAATATTGATTTGATGAGGCGTTGTGTTGACAAGAATTGAGTCCGAATTGAGCAATTTGGTGTGGAATTGTTTAGTTAAGTTTTGTTTTCTTTGCTTATTAGGTTGCAGAGCCTCAAGTTTCTAGGCTATATAGGGAAGCAGAGGAGTCTATAATAGATCACCGGTGGTTGGATTTGGTAACTTTAATGGTAACTTCAGCTGACTTGGTATCAACCAAGATCTCCGAGAAAGGTCGTCTTTAATCATTATATCATTAGTTCTTTTCTGCTATACTATACCCTTTTTTTGTGTGTGCATAATTCTCATGTTATTTGCCTCTTTTCAGATCTTGAGTGTACCTACACCATAATTTGCAGCCTTGTGAAGAATGTGACAAGTCCTGAAGAAGTCCTTGAAATGGTGAAAGCTATTGCTTCTAAGGTTGTTCAACAGCCCGATGACAAAGCTTCATTGCGTTTGAAAATGTATGACCCTGTGAATCTTTCAGCATACGACTCTTTGGGCTAATGTATTGTAGGAGTCTTTCAGATCATATATTATATTGTTTCATTTGTGTTATGTGTTTCTCATCTATTGCTTGTCTCTGTGCAGCCTCTTCAATCTTTATAACCTGCTTGACCACCCAAATGCTCGATTTCAAGTATATATGAAAGCTCTAGAACTGGCTGTAAACGGGAAGGTAACCGAGTATATAGTGCCTTCCTTTAAGAAGATTGACAGCTTCTTGAAAGACTGGAGTATTGATATCAAAGATCAGAGGGAAGTATTTCTTGCCATTGCTAAAGTGCTGAGAGAAAATAAAAGGTACTGAAACAAAGTTTCTTTCCCCTCTTTCTTTGCTTTAAATTATTTATTAGGTATACCAATGGTCTCATGTTTCCTTTAATCTATATTCCAGTTTGGCAAAAGAATCCCTTCAGTTTGTGACAAAGTATTTGGCAACTTTCTCCAATGAGGATGCCCAAGTCCTGAGTGAAGCCAAGGAGGAAGCTGTACGAGCCATTGTTGAGTTTGTCAAGGCTCCCAGTATATTTCAGGTATCATAATTTATAAAGCATTTTGATTAAAATGTGTACGATCTTTGCTGATGACTTTTACTTTCTTTTGAAGTGCAACTCTTGCTTTTTGTTCAGAGAAGTCTTTTTTATTCACGATTTTTTTCTTTTGATATGCAGTGTGATTTATTAGACATGCCGGCTGTCGCACAATTGGAGAAGGATCCTAACGATGCACCAGTTTACCAGCTATTGAAGATTTTTCTTACTCAGAGGCTGGATGCATACATGAAATTCCAAAATGCGAATCCAGAATTTCTGGAAACCTATGGTACTGTCCTTATTATCCCTTTACTGCTTATTATAATTCATAAAGCATCTCCAGTGTATCCTCAAGTATTTAGCGTAATAAGCCATAGATGGTGTTTGCAGGGCTTGCTGAGGAAGACTGTGTAGCAAAGATGAGATTGTTGTCACTTGTGGATTTGGCCTCAGATGAAACTGGAAAAATATCGTATGCCTCTCTCAAGAACACTCTACAGGTTAACTTATTTTACTTGAACATTACATTAAACAAACGTTGACAACCTATTTTCGGTGCTTCTCAGACTCATAAAATTTCTGGGGGGTTACAGGTAAATGAAGAGGAGGTTGAATTGTGGGTGGTTAAGGCAATAACCGCAAAATTGGTTGATTGTAAGATGGATCAGATGAACCAAGTTGTAATTGTCAGGCAAGTTATATACTCTTATCTATGACTTTATATGTGTAAAGACATACCTTCTCATACTTTTCGTACTTGGTTTAATTTTCAGTCGTTGTGCCGAGCGTGATTTTGGACAAAAGCAGTGGCAATCTCTTCGAACAAAGCTTGCAGCTTGGCGGGTAAAACACAAAACCGCTATGCTGGACTTATGTGATATTGTGAGTGCTTATGTAATACTAACATGTTTCTTGGTTGTGTTTGTGCAGGACAATATTACGAATGTTATTAGCACAATCCAAGCTAATAAGGTAACAGAGGAAGCTACTCAGGCAACATCAGGTAATCAGGGATTGGCTGGTCGTTGAAAGATTTGTTTGAAGATTTCTTAGAAGAAGAAGCTCTCATCAATCTAAAGCCGGATACTTTGTATTCTTTGCAGAGTTCTTTTTGACCATTGGATCTTTTTTTTTAAATGGCCTTCTTCTTTGTGTTGGCCTCTTTTTGTCCGTTCAATTTTGCGGAGACTTGTTATGCAGCACTTGTTTCTTAAAGAGTTTAGCCAAAGTCCAATTGCCCATCTGTGGCTTTCATGTAGTAGTTTGATGGATCCGATGTACTCAGTTCCCACATTTCTTTGGTGTCACACTCTCTTCACACTTTTTTCGTCAGATCATATTCTAAATTCAAAAAATATATATTCAGAAGTGAGAATATATTAAGAGAAATATGGCTACTTGCTAGAACAAGTACACCATACAAATATAATCTAATAAATTGTTAGAATACTGTACAACTAATTCATTTTCTTTGCCATTTTAGTCGGTATTTGTGGATATACATATGAGGTTGAAAAGAAAAACTTTATTGTTAGATCAAGAAAACAGAACCTTCCACCACGTATGTTTCTTTAAATTGATCAAAAGTATAAATCTTTTGAGTCTTTGAGATATGACAATTTAAACCTCTTAATATCCTGAGACAATATGTTTGTTTAAAAGGGGATTTTTCTTTTTTCCCCGGAGAAAATAGTTTCCTTAGGAAGATGGTAAGGCAAGTTGGGAGATACGTTTGTGTCAGAAGTTGACTCATGGCCAGTCCACTCTTTTTTTATTTATCTTCAACCCCAAGCTACTTTCTCACTTCTCATATCTAAATCATTAGGGTTTCCAGTTCTTTAAAAAGGCAAAAAAAAAATGACAGTTGAGATGTTATGTTCGGACAAGAACACGTCAGTTTCTGTTGCTGTTTTATTATCAATCACCATAAACATTGCTTAAAGTTATGGGAATGAAGAAAGAATAAATTTGGAGAATGCAACAACAAGTAGGTAAAGTCCATCTTCAGACCAAAAAGACTCATCAATAATCTTTGAAAAGCTTCTGTTTAAATCCATAAGCACATCAATTTCAAATTCTGAAGAAGAAGAAACTGGAGGTTAAAGTACAAAAGATGAGGCTCTTCTTCTGCTTCTGCTTCTTCTTCATGATCATCTTTTGCGCAAGTGAGTTCTGAATATTCATTTTCGCCAGCTATTTTGCAAAACCTTAACTCATTCTTCTTAATTCGTGTGATTTCGTTTTCCAGCTGCTTATGATCCATTGGATCCTAGTGGGAACGTTACAATCAAATGGGATATCATGTCCTGGACAGCAGATGGCTATGTGGTACGAATGCTTCCCGGACTTGTGAATACGTGTTTGCGCATTTGAAACTTGCACATTGCACAAACTCACATCATCTCTATACATTATATGCGTTTGCAGGCAACGGTAACTATGAACAACTTCCAAATATACCGGCACATACAAAACCCGGGTTGGACATTAGGCTGGACATGGGCAAAGAAAGAGGTGATTTGGTCAATGGTTGGTGCGCAAACAACAGAACAAGGAGACTGTTCCAAGTTCAAGGGAAATGTACCTCATTGCTGTAAGAAAACCCCCACGGTCGTTGATCTCTTGCCAGGTGTGCCTTACAATCAACAGTTCTCAAACTGTTGCAAAGGTGGTGTAATTGGAGCTTGGGGTCAAGATCCATCAGCTGCTGTATCACAGTTTCAAGTTAGTGTCGGTTTAGCCGGAACCACAAACAAGACTGTCAAGCTTCCTAAGAACTTCACATTGCTTGGTCCTGGGCCTGGTTACACCTGTGGTCCAGCCAAAATCGTGCCATCTACCGCTTTTCTCACAACTGATAAACGGCGAAAAACACAGGCTTTGAGTAAGTAATTACATTTGTAAAAGCCCTTAACTTGATCAGATCCGCTGTAAAACACACAATCTTCTAAGTTTCTTAAAGTGAAACAGAGCTTAGTTGAAGAAGTTTAATATTTCCTTCATCTATATGCATCGATGTTCTCTAAACAACATTTTAAACATATGTTTCTGCAGTGACATGGAATGTTACCTGCACATATTCACAGTTTCTGGCCAGAAAGCATCCAAGCTGTTGCGTCTCCTTTTCATCTTTCTACAACGACACCATAACTCCTTGCCCGTCTTGTGCCTGCGGTTGCGAAAACAAAAGAAGCTGCGTCAAGTGAGCAAAACGAAAACACAAATCAGTCAAACTCAAAACTCTTTCTTATCTCCTAAACTGAAAAGACATTACCAATAATTTCTTGCAGGGCTGACTCAAAGATTCTAACCATGAAAGGTCTCAACACACCAAGAAAAGACAACGCTCCTTTGCTGCAATGCACACATCACATGTGCCCAGTTAGAGTACACTGGCACGTTAAAACTAACTACAAAGACTATTGGCGAGTGAAGCTAGCGATCACGAATTTCAATTACCGGATGAATCATACACTGTGGACATTAGCAGTTCAGCACCCAAATCTCAACAACGTGACTCAAGTTTTCAGCTTTGATTACAAATCAGTTTCTCCTTATGGATCCATAAGTAAAGTTCTCTCCTCAACCACAACTTATATTCAACTTTAAAACATAACACACTGAAAAGACTAACCAAATTCTTAACTATGATGCAGACGATACTGGAATGTTCTATGGAACCAAGTTTTACAATGATCTATTAATGGAAGCTGGACCATCAGGGAATGTTCAGTCAGAGGTTTTGCTACAAAAAGATCAAAAGACATTCACTTTCAAGCAAGGTTGGGCTTTTCCGAGAAAAGTATACTTTAATGGAGATGAATGTATGTTACCTCCACCAGATTCATACCCTTTTCTACCAAACTCTGCACATGGAAGCTTTGCTTCTCTCTCACTCACCCTTCTTCTTCTTCTTCTTCTATTCATCACAATCTGGTGATTTTAACCAGAAATGTTTTTTTTGTAACACGATTGTTAAATTCGATTTCCAGATAAAGATAAAAAAATGGGGTTTCGTTAGAGAAAGTAATTAGAGATGTGTAAGCTTTTTTTTACCTTCATCACCGCCATTGATTTATGGGTTTTTGTACTTCTTGAGAACGATGATCACTCATGTGAAAGTGAAACAGTGAGAGTGAAGCATTGATTTGAGAAAGTTAAGAAAATATTCTTAACTGGGCTCAAATAAACGTTAAAATTTAGCCCAGTTAGGGCCCGGTTTAATATATATATATACACTGCACACATCCGCGCGTTTGAAGATATTCGCGTTGTGTATATTTTTCATTGGTCCGAAAAGGCGAAAAGGCAACAAAGGTCAAACGGCGTTTTGTTTGAGGAGACATTTTTTGGTGGAAGATATTAGATATGAGACCTTTTCTCATTCCTCTCTGTCCTAAACGGCTCCATCCATTTAAAAGTATATATTGTATAAAAGTTCTAAATGGTCAAGTAAAGTATTTTGAAGAAAATATAAGAATTTTAGCTGCTGATCAAACAACAAAAAGATTTTTTAACATATATATTTAATTATTCATTTAAAATACTTATTAGACACATACAAAATAGTTTTCAAGTTATTTTATTATTTTTGTTTTAATATAAAGTACTGTCAATAGATATATAGATAATATCTGTGATGAAATTTTAATATAAAGTCTCCTATTCCCAAATGAATGAATGCTCTTTGATTGAGATCTGAATTTAGGACAGAAATTTTTTTAAAAAAAGTATATGTTGCTGACCAAACGCAGAACCTCGCTTAAAAATCGCGTTTGCGTTTTCATTTTTTCTCTCTAGAGTGTGTGAAATTAATATTCTTTCTGGCGACGAATCCCAGAGGTTATTGTTGAATTTGCCTCCAAGAAATCTGCAATTAGAAAAGTTCCCATTTCGCCGTCATCGTCGTCTTCGTCTGCTTTGATCCCAAAGATGTGTTCCTGAGTCGTTGGGAGATTTAGGTCATTTCGCATCGGACTCAGTCTCGCAGCATCGGAGAGAGAAGTCATGAATACGCCACCGAGTTCTCGTGTCGCATCTTTTGGTCAGACGGAGATTAACTGGGACAAGTACGTTCTTCCCTTTTTCGTCAGTTTCCCCATTGATTGATCTGCTTCTTTTTTTTTTTTTGATTGATTTGATTCTCTTGTGGCGTTTTCCCTATTAGTGTGTCCCAATTTGTTTATTGTTGCTTCGATCCAGTTTTTGTGATTCTGTGGTTTTTGGCTCGTCGGTTGATTTTTATCGACATGAAATTTATATCGCGCGTTGTTTTCATGGAATCATTTGGTGGATGTAATTGAACATTTTCCATTTCTTATTGGGAAGAATCTGGTCAAGAGAGAAGCTCGGTTCAGATATTCATTTGGTTCACAAAGATCATTTTTTTGGTGAAAGATCTGCTAGGCATTTCGACCTTTTTTCTAGGGGGGTTCCTTATTCTTACTGAGGTCGTTCTGTGTCTAAGGTTCTTTGAAACGAGTGAAGATTAGGGCCTAAAGTACTTGAAACTATTACAAATTTGGTTGTAAGATTTCCAAGAGTGACTTGAATATTCATACAACAAATGATAGATAGTCTTTATTCATTTAGTTATTAGAAAACTTTATGTACTTTCCAGAGAAGGTGTTTTGATATCTTCATTCGAGCTCTAATCATTTGTGGTTTCTCTCCTCCCTTTACATGCAGGCTTGACAAAAGGAGGTTTTACGTTGTAGGGGCTGGCCTATTCACTGGTGTTACTGTAGCTCTGTATCCTGTTTCCGTGGTGAAAACAAGGCTTCAAGTTGCTTCTAGAGAAATTGCTGAGAGAAGTGCATTTTCTGTTGTAAAAGGAATACTGAAGAATGACGGTGTTCCTGGTCTCTATAGAGGTTTTGGTACTGTAATTACAGGTGCAGTACCTGCAAGGATCATATTTCTAACTGCCCTTGAGACCACAAAGATTTCTGCATTTAAGATGGTTGCACCTTTCGAGCTAAGTGAACCTACACAAGCTGCCATTGCAAATGGAATTGCCGGCATGACAGCTTCTCTTTTCTCACAGGCTGTGTTTGTCCCAATTGACGTTGTATGTATTTTACACCCCAACTTTCTTTGTAATATCCGTGCATCCTGTGAAATGTCTTATCACTATTTGCTGCTAATAACCATATATCTCCTATTTTCCGCAGGTTAGCCAAAAGTTGATGGTACAAGGATACTCAGGCCACGCTAAATACACTGGTGGTATTGATGTTGCCACAAAAATCATTAAGTCATATGGTGTAAGGGGATTATACAGGGGGTTTGGTCTGTCTGTTATGACCTATTCTCCTTCAAGTGCTGCTTGGTGGGCTAGCTATGGATCAAGCCAGCGTGTTATCTGGAGGTTAGACATGAATAATCTGATTTATTTATGATAGTTTCCTTTCTAGTTTGATTGCAAGAACTCACATTTCACTCATTCATGAAATTTAATGACTGATCCAATATCTGCTACTGTTGGGCAGATTCTTAGGCTATGGTAGTGACTCGGATGCGACGACTGCTGCTCCTAGTAAGTCAAAAATTGTTCTGGTCCAGGCTGCTGGAGGAATTATTGCTGGTGCAACAGCATCCTCAATTACAACTCCGTTAGACACAATCAAAACACGACTGCAGGTATTAACTTTTAGCCCCCCATTCATAATAGAAACTTGATTTAATTTGCATTTGTTTTGACTCGTGAATATAAACAAGCTTAAGGGTGTGATGTCCTGGTTCTCAATTAGACAACTGTGGCCTGTGGGTGCTACATAGAAATTATACTAAACAAAACCATAAATCTCTGTGCAGATCATGGGACATCAAGAAAATAGACCTTCAGCGAAACAAGTGGTGAAAACTCTGCTAGCTGAAGATGGGTGGAAAGGATTCTATAGGGGTTTGGGCCCAAGATTCTTTAGCATGTCGGCTTGGGGAACCTCGATGATATTGACTTACGAATACTTAAGTAAGAAAGCTTTTCTTTTTGTACCCAAAATCTTCACTTTGAGCCACTTTTGAAACCATCAAAATTCTTCTTTTGAAGTGCCACTGCTTTGTCTCTGACATTTTTTCATTCTTTCTTGATAATTGTCAGAGCGTCTGTGTGCAATAGAAGATTAGAAAGCCGCACTATTGTTTGTTGGTTATTCTCCTTCGACTAACTCGAGTAGAGGCATCAACTCGATTCAAATCTCGGCTATTGGGAGCTTCCTTCCATGTTGACAATTGGACCATTCTTTCAAGTTTGAAGTCTGAGTTCCGTTATTGTAATCATTCTTTCAACTTTGCGTATTGGAATGTATTCTTACAGCAGAAGAAATTCTAGATTACGGTCTTCTGCATTATTAGCTTCTGGGAGCTAAAGAAGCTTCGAAACTTTGCAATTACTTCACTGAATCTTATAATCGTATGGATGTACGTGTTGCCATAACAGTGAAAAATTGAGCTGAGTTTTGATGTTGCAAATGGCTTTTCATTTGCATAAACTGGTGTTCGCAAAAAGTATCCTCACTTTTGTGATGTAACAGGTTATTCATCCAATCTGCCAAAACAATTGTTTTTGGTCAGTCTCATTGATACCCACATAAATAATCATCATCAAGTGCATTAGTATTTTCAAAATTCATTATTGTGCTACATCTTCTTGACTGATCAATTATCATATGCATGATCTTCAAAAGTTGTTGAAGGAAAGACAGCAGCAAACTGAACTTGCTGAATTGCTGTTGTGTCACATGGTAGTAAAAGCCACTAAAACCTTTCGATCCATAGGCTGAGGGCACAAACTGGGTGCTTAGGCCATACAAAAGCCCATCTCACGGTTGTTTTTATTTAACCTTATGTTAATATGTGAATCTCTACATGGAAATTCGAAATATGCTAAATTAAAAGAATTCATATGTATTTTACAAAAAATAATATTCAAGATAAACATTAAGATATTAAAAGTATTAAGTATTTGATTTTTAATTAATTTATTGCCTCGTAGTGTATAGTCTTCATTGTATATTCTCTGACTCAACATAGATTCATTTCTCCATAAAATATCAACTTCAATATATTATTTTTTCCTTGAAAAAACTTCAATATTATTTGAAATACCTACTTTTCTTGTGTTTTTTTTCTTTCATTGAAATACATCCTGCTAAAAAATCACATATAGTAATGGATTATTACTGAAAGTAACTTAAACATGGAGCTCTTAATTATTTTTGTAGACTTTTAGACATTATTTCGTATATGATATATGTGAAATAATTATAAAGTTGTCCATCACCAACCGACCTACGTGCATGTACTCTCGTTTAATTATATAAATATGATAGTTACATGATTTATGCAATGATCATAGACGACGACGACGTGCATCGACGAGCGGTCCACGACCACGACGTAAGGTTTACGGTTCAGATTTTATTTGATCAAATGTTAAAAATAATATATATATTGGTTAAGAATTATATTGAATGATATATACGAATCTAAAGCGAATAATCAAGAATTATCTTTAACAAAAAGAAAAAAGAAAATAAGAGTTACGATTTTACGACCTTTTTTGCTTGGTTTGGTCGACAATTATGATTTAAGTCCTTGTATTAATTTATCATACATGCTACCTTGTACAATACGATACGTCGTATGTTATATGTATATACGAAACTTTAACTGAAAAGAAAGTTAAATGCATAAATGAATCTAAGAGATCACTACCACAGCTCCCACATCACGTGCATTATTCCTTCGTTACATAGCAAAGTGGAACAATGCATTTACTAAGTTGTCAGTTTTTAATCAGAAAAAGAGAGGTCAATTTATTATTTCATGTTTTCTGTTTTTATTTTTATAAAGGTAAAGCTGTAAAAAAACTAATGAAACCTTTGTTTGGTAACCTAATAGTAAAATCTTACACTTAATATAGTATTACGTTCCAGTGATCAACAAATACTAACTTCTGTAAAAAAATAGATTAATACGTTTTTCTAAGATCAATACGTTTTTCTACGTTCCAGTGATTAGCACAAACGTTACGTATATCACAAACATAAAGTACACTAGAATATATCTGCATTCATATGAATTAATTTGTTCGCAAGATAAAGTTAACCTTTTGATAAAGTTTAATACTTTTATATTTATTTATAAAGTGTATTATCAAATCCAAAATCCAACAGAAAATAATAAAAACACATCTCAATTTTACATTTTTTGGGTCAAAATATATTGAAACCAAATTCGTATTAGGCTTTAGTTTATGGAATTTAATCCTAATATATTCAAAATTGCTTCAAAAACAACCTAAAAATCTGGACCAAAATTCAACTTCGAATATATATTTTTTTTCATCCTTGGATTAACATGTAGTATCAAACTGTAATTCTAAAAAGATATTCGATATAATCATAATAACTGGTTGCAAATTATCTATAATCAACAAAATTAATATAACAATTACTACAAACTCGAATTGTCCGGGAATTAAAGACAGAAAAAAAAAAACTGACTTCGTAAACCATTCAGCTTTTCCGATTTAAATTGAACGAATCGCTATCAAACACGTGTCAAGTTTGTGTCAATTTTGTCACGTGCCGTCCACTAAGCACGTGCGAGATCTGTATAAATCACTGAGGCTTGTTTATCTCTCTTATTTCAAAACACACTCACCGACTCGATCCGATCTCATCTCTCCCCTGAAACCATGGTTGAGCCGGCGAACACTGTTGGACTCCCTGTGAATCCGACACCGTTGTTGACAGATGAGCTCGATATCGTGATTCCGACCATCAGGAACCTCGATTTCCTCGAGATGTGGAGGCCTTTTCTCCAGCCTTACCATCTGATCATCGTCCAGGACGGAGATCCAACGAAGAAGATCCACGTGCCTGAAGGTTACGACTACGAGCTCTACAACAGGAACGACATCAACCGTATCCTCGGACCCAAGGCTTCTTGTATCTCCTTCAAGGATTCTGCTTGTCGGTGCTTTGGATACATGGTGTCTAAGAAGAAGTACATCTTCACCATTGATGACGATTGCTTCGTAAGTTACTCCAATTTTACTTGATCCGCGATTTTTATTTTGAGTTCTGCAAATTTTGGTTCTAGATCTGTTTTTTCTATAAGCTATTTTGTTTTTGTTTGCGTGGATTGTTATAGCTCATTGCTTGAATTTCGTAGATTTGATTAGAGAATTAAGTAACTGAGTCACTGAATGTGAAGGATCTTATCTTTGTGTTCGAATAGGAAATTCAATGTTTTTGTATCAGATGTTCCAGATCTGGCTGATGAGTTTCGATCTGTTGTAACCAGCCATGTTCTTCAATGTTTACTTGAAAATCTTTTTGAGCTGGTGTCACTGTTGTTGACGACATTGTTGTTGAGCTGATATCTCTGTGTCATTATAGCTACCTTTACGATATGGTTGCACGTCGTTGTTCATTATTTTTCTTTTGTTTGACCTTTTTGAGATTTGTGGGTCATATCAAAGGATGAGTCTTGATTACGCTGTGTTTAGTTTTTATTTTCTGAGTTTTTTTTTGGAATATAATTAGTGGCTTGATCTGTGTGTTGACCGCTTTTCATTCATATATTTTCTTCATGTTTGTGTATATAGGTTGCCAAGGATCCATCTGGCAAAGCTGTGAACGCTCTTGAGCAACACATCAAGAACCTTCTCTGCCCTTCGTCTCCCTTTTTCTTCAACACCTTGTATGATCCTTACCGTGAAGGTGCTGATTTCGTCCGTGGATACCCTTTCAGTCTCCGTGAAGGTGTTTCTACTGCTGTTTCCCATGGTCTCTGGCTCAACATCCCTGATTACGATGCCCCCACCCAACTCGTCAAGCCTAAGGAGAGGAACATCAGGTGATGATAATTGACCATTATTACCTGTTTTCTTTGTTTTGTCTAATGTCAGTCTTTGCTAACTATTTTATTTGATATGTCAGGTATGTGGATGCTGTCATGACCATCCCAAAGGGAACACTTTTCCCAATGTGCGGTATGAATTTGGCTTTCGACCGTGATTTGATTGGCCCAGCTATGTACTTTGGTCTCATGGGTGATGGTCAGCCTATTGGTCGCTACGACGATATGTGGGCTGGTTGGTGCATCAAGGTAATTACTTCTTATTCCCTTTTAAGACTCATTTTTTGAGTGCAACAATTGGATTTCAAGGATATGACATAATATAGCTTATTATGAAGTACATGCTCTGTACTTAAGGATACACATGTTTGGGATGAATCTTTTATAGGTGATCTGTGACCACTTGAGTTTGGGAGTGAAGACCGGGTTGCCATACATCTACCACAGCAAAGCTAGCAACCCTTTTGTGAACCTTAAGAAGGAATACAAAGGAATCTTCTGGCAGGAGGAGATCATTCCGTTCTTCCAGAATGCTAAGCTATCGAAAGAAGCAACAACTGTTCAGCAGTGCTACATTGAGCTCTCAAAGATGGTGAAGGAGAAGTTGAGCTCCTTAGACCCGTACTTTGACAAGCTTGCAGACGCCATGGTTACATGGATTGAAGCTTGGGATGAGCTTAACCCACCAGCAGCTGTTGCAGGCAATGGCAAAGCTTGAATAGTATGAGCCAAAAAGAAAAAACCACCACAGTTTTGGTTATTTTAGCTCGATTTATCTTTACTTAAAAAATTTCGGATTTTATGAACCTTTCTTCTTTGTTTTAGTTACAACACTTTTGAGTAGTTGTCATCGACATTACTTTCTCAGTGTCCGGTTATTGTTATTGCATTTGGTTTTAAATGTCACTTGTTTATTCATAAGCAGTGGTCCATTTCTAGAACTATTTCCCGAGTTTTTTTTTTGTTTCATTAATAAAAAAAAGCCTTACGCAGGTGTTTGCAATTAGTTTTTTTTTTTTTCCTTCATCAATCATCCATTATTATAGGTATTTTTTTTAATGGCTAATGTTCCATTAAACTTAAACTTGAAGGAATTGTTTACAGACCAAAAAGAAAATGGAATTGCTACTGAAAGAGCTTTTACAAAAGCGAGAACATTCAAGAGACTTTCACAAATTGGTCGATGGCTTCATAAATCATAAGTTATCGTATCTCAATTAAATAAACTGGAATCTGAATATGTTTTTGCAAGATCTCTAGAACCAAACGGTGAAGACCCGACCCGGTTGCGCAAAATTCTATTTTCTGACTCAGGTTAATAAGCTAAGCAAAGCCCAAATTAACATACAATGGGCTTGTTGGCATTTTGAACCGACCTCCCTATTTCCACTTACTAGGTTAATAGCAGCTACTAACTTTTAGAGGAGCAAGAAGAAGCCACCGTGATCATAACGAAAAGTCAATCCATTATTTTTTGATACGATGACCATAACTAACGGTGGCCAAAAGTTTCTTCGGGTACGATCCAGTTAATGATGAATACAAAGTATTGGTACTGTGCATGAAGGAAAAAACTCAACGCCGTGGCCGCCAAGTATTACTATTATCATCTCAACATCAAGTATTCACACTGGGAGCTAAAAAATGGGAAAATATCAAGTATACGATTCCTCATAGACCTCTCTCTAACAGTGTGTGCATAGATGGTGTTTTGTATTATGTTGCTAAAACGGGCGCTGAGTTGTCGCAACTGAGCTTAATGAGATTCGATTTGGGGTCTAACGGATTGGATCTTTTTACTAGTTTATCCGCAGACATGGACGCTCGACGTCTAGATGGTTCTTCTACATTATTGATCAGCTACGAGGGGAGAGTAGCCTTACCCATTAAGATTTCAACATATGAATTTGAACTGTGGGTTATGGATCAGCATACCAAAGAAGATGGATGGTTGAAGACAAGTTTCGATATCGAACACTGGAAGAGCTCACTTCCGTTGGAATATTTACACATCAAAGGCACTACTCATACGGGTGAGTTCATTTTGGCACCACGATACTATTCTGATGACTTTAACGTTATCCATTACAATCCCGACACGGATAGTTTTAGAAGCACTAAGGTTGAAGTATACGAAGACCATGCGTTCAAGCGTCGTTGTACGAGAGCATTAGTTTTTTCGGATTACGTAGAGAGTGTTAGGTTCCTGTGGTAGGAGAGACATGAGTTTCATTATTTTTTGATAGATGATACAATTTCATATTTGAAATGTTTGCATTTGATAGACTTGTTTTTTTTAGGAAACTTTTCTCACTTTTATTAACCAGTTGGATTTGCCTGTTATATTGATTCTCTGGTTTACAAGGAAAAAAAATCTGATTTATTTAACCAAAAGCAAAGGGAATGCCACAATGTCTCCTAAGCTAGTATTCCTCATCATCAACGTCTTTTATATCGTCCGTTTCGTTTCTATGCAAATTATATATAGTTTTCTAATATTATTTTATAGTTATATAAAGCAGTAAAAGGTTACTATCAGGTATTTCAAGTTTTCAACTAACCAAAAAACAATAATTAATTCACGCCTTTGCTGTCCTGGTTTACCCAATATCCCTGAAGACCGGACCCGGCCAGTTATGTAAGATCCAATTTAATAGCCGGGTAGGTGAAATCAAACCTTTTATAAACCTTGTCTCCATATTTCTACGCAGCTGAAATAATAGAGTAACGCAAGGTATTCTATACAGAGAAATCTAGCTAGCTAGGGTTTCGAAGGTAAGAGCGAACGATCATGAGAAGAAGACACAGGAAAAAGGCCAAAACCGTGAACAAAATTAACAATGTACAAACGTCGGAATTAGAGAGGACCAACTTAGTTGAGCTCCCTCATGACCTAGTGATGGAGATTAATGGGAGATTGCCTCTCAAGTCTGTGGCTAGATTTCTCACAGTATCTAAGTTATGGGAAACAACTGTACGAAGTCCAGATTTCATCACATCTTACCCGCGTGGGTCTTCGGGTCAACCTCGTACCCTAATCGCTGCCGACCTCAATTCAAACCGATGCCATTCCAGCAGATCTAGAGTGAATGGAGATTTGCACTTGTTCGATCCTCATCATCATCAAGGTCTTGTATATCACGTCTGACCATTCCTGTCACGTATCATCACTACATGAAGTGCTTTTATCATCATGTTAACGGATTGATAAGCGTTGGATATGGTCAAGACCAAATCCTTTTTAACCCCGTCACTGGTAAGTCCATACCTTTACCACGCCCCAAAACAAGGAGAAAGCTCGTAAAAAGTTTCTTCGGGTATGACTCAGTTAGTGATCAATACAAAGTGTTGTGCATGACGATAAAAATGCATGGCCTTCATGAAGAACCATCATCTGAACATCAAGTGTTGACGTTGACATTGGGAGCTAAAATGAAACCATGGGATATGATCAAGTGTAGCGTTCCTCACCGTCCTTCGTCTAACGGTGTGTGCATAAATGGTGTTGTGTATTATGTTGCTAGAACCGGGGCAGGAATGTCGCATATGCGCTTAATGAGATTTGCTTTGAGGCCTGGTAACATGTTGGATCTTTTTGCTAGCTTACCTGAAGAGACTCAAACTACAGGGATTCTCTTTTTGATGAACTACGAGGGGAAATTAGCCATACCCTCTCAACCTACATCATATACATACGATGTGTGGGTTCTGAATCAGCTGGAAGGAGCAAACCATGAATGGTTGAAGAAAATAACTTTCAGTATTGAACCTTGGAAGACTAAATGGAATGGTTCATGTGGCTTTGTATACGTGAGAGGCATTACTCATAAGGGTGAGTTTATTTTGGCACCAGAGTACTATACTAATGAGTTTTATGTCTTCCATTACAATCCTGACAAGAACAGTTTTCGAAAGATTGTGATTCCAGTATCCGCAGGCTATAAGGTTAAGCCTCATCATAAAATAGCATACGTTTTTTCGGATTACGTAGAGACTGTTAGGTTATTGTAGACGGAGACAGACACTTTCATCGCTTTGATAATGGATACCCATAATCTTTCCTTTTTTTCTTTTACTTTTGTTGATTAATTTAATTGTAGTTTTATTTCATATATCATAAACCATTTTTACACGCGTCAAAGACACTACTCATACGGGAGAGTTGATTTTCACATCACCATACTGTTATTTATGAGTGTTTTTTTCTATCATTACAAATCCCGACATGAACAGTTTCACGAGGACTAAGGTTGAACCGTCCGCATACTATAATATAAGAGCAATTAATGATGTTTTCGGATTACGTTGAGAGTGTTAGGTTTTTGTAGAAGACAGTATTAATTATGTTTGATGGATGATTAAGTTATAATTTCGGTGCTAATAAACAAAACCCATTAGATTATAGTGAATCGTAAATGACTAATAATGATCACGAAACCGAGCAAATCATTCATTAGTCTTTTTTTTTTTCCGTAAAACAAACCCCCGATCATAAAATTAACAAATAAAACTTTCGATCTTCAAAAAGGTCTGTTGAATACATTTGGAACCTAGTAAGTGCGAAGTTGCGAACATACAAGTTAGTTGCTATTACACCAAACTATTCACACATTGCTTCTTTAAAACTTCTGAAAACCATACAAATAACCAAAAAAATTGCAAAACTTTTACTGCAGAAGTTACATGTTTGCTATCGTTGTGACAAAAGGCACCAATCTTCTATAATCTCTTCTTCCTAGAGCGCAATTATCAAGAACCCGACCCAACATAAGCCTTGTGTTCTGCAAAGCCACATCTCTCGGAGGTATCCCTGACTCTGCCGCAGCTGCACTGAGAGGGAAAGCTTGCGACATTGTTGCAGCCATCATTGCGTACTGAAGAGGTCCGCTTCGGGCTTTAAATGAAGTCTGAGGAACAAGCGTTTTCTCATCAGTCCCATTTTCAGAGTAACAGGAATCCTGTGGGTGGGATCCACCGGTACCCCCTTGTACCGGGCTGCAGCTCTGAAGAAGGGCTTCAAGAACACTCAATGCCTCCCAACACAGAGTACTTTCGACTAGCTGCGATACAATTGTGTACATGTGGGGACTCTGCGAAGCATCCATGGGAGTGTGTTGGAGCAATGCCTTGAGCATAAGTAATATGACTCTTTGGTAATCCACTGGTCCTTTTTTAAGCAGTCTTAACAAGTGACCGAAAGCTAAAGCTGAGTGTTTCGGGAACCATTTGTTGCAGAGCAGAGGAGAAACACATGCAAGAAGATTTTCAACCCTTTTAATTTCGCCACGAGCATATGCGACAAAAACTGTAGCCAGTTCATCGAGTGAATTCGCCCGACACCAGACAGCAACGTTAGCTGCCACAGAACATGCCTTTTGATACTGCTGCTGGAGTGGTAACGCAAAAACCATGACTTGGTCTTGAGTCAGCTGCAAGCAAAGCCAAGGAAGTAAACCTGTGATATGCATAAGGAGTCTTGTCTCAGCATCGCCAAATATAGAGTCACACGAAGGCACTGTAATCCTTGATAGGACTTCAATAGAGAACTCGTGGCTAACAGTAGACATCAGTCCTTTGAGGACAAGAGGTTGTACACCTTCAAACTTCGGAAGAGTTCCACTCGATGGCGGCATCTCGTACCCTCTAGATTCTGTCCTCTGGAATTCCCCCAAATCATTAGTGTTGAATTCATCCCGAGGCATACTTGACAATAGCACATTTTCAGTTGTTTTGTCACGAAATGACAGACGGTCAATAATACGGGAGAAGAGCTCAAGAACCTGGCAATAGACATGGACGAAGTCTGTGTGCATCATGGCCACACAGCCCCAGAAGAGCTGTGGGTAGAGTATGACTTTCTCTGGCTCCATGTTCTCTACCATGACCTGTAGCGTTAGAAGGATTTCCATAATGAAACCCAAAACTGGAGGAATGGGATTGCTAAGACATCGGTGAAGACAGCGTAGAAGGGAGACACATGCATCACTTGTCACACTTGGCCGTAGCGCACGGTATATTTGGTGTGACCGACATGCTAGATGTCTTGACGTGCATTCCATAGCCCATTTGAGAGCTTCAGTTCCCCAAGTTTCTCGAAGATCTCCTTGGAAGAATATAGCATCAACCATACTCTGAACAAGTGCAGACAAAAGAGCGGCACTAGGAAGATCTGTTCTCACAACCGTTGGATCTTCATTCTCCCACATCATGCTTCCTCGTTTTGACTGAACATATTTAATTAAACTCACAACCTGTTGTTTGTTCTCTCCATCACTGGTTTCCACCTCATATAGCTCCAGATGTCGACCAGCTAGTGAGTACAACAAATTCACAAGCAAATGTTGACAATGCTCTAGCACAATGTCTTCAGAGCTATCCATAGAAACAAAAGTGACGTGGAAGAGCAAAGGCAGATGTTCCCTAAAATCTTCATCATTCTCATATGCGATTTCTGCAAGAAGAATCAGAGCTATATCGGCATGAGTGAGTGAGTGCTGTTGATGTCCCTGCAAGGCTGATTGAAGTTCCTTTGCATTGACGCCATGCATTGCGATCCCAGAATGTAACACATCTTCTCCAGAATTTGGTGTATCAATGAGGTAATCTCCACTATCACGTGAGACATGGCGACTCCTCAAACTTCCTGTAGAGCTACGAACTCCCATTAAAGGTCCTGATGCATTCACCAATGATGGCAGGAGCTGACCAGAACGACCGGTAGCTACAGGAACAATATTCAATTCAGGAGGCATTGGACTTAAAGGCCCAGAAGCACTTCGCCCAGTCATGCCTGCTGTTCTCCAGCTTAGGCTTCCGCTTGTATTCCTAAGGGGGCCATCAAGGGAACCTCGGACAAGAAGTGGTGACATATGTGGTTGGCTGTCTGCAACTGAAGCAACTTGAGGTGCTGTGGCAGGTCCCTGAGAGAACTCCAGCACAAAGTTACCATTGGAATCACCCCGATTTGCACTATAACCAATGGGTTCAATACTGTCTTCCAGCATCCGCTGGGACAGTTGGTAAACCAGGTGATCAATAGTACGCTGAGGACATATCCGTGCGAGGTACAAACTTACACGTTTAGCAACAGAAAAATATGTAGCAAATGCACCAGTTATTTCGGCAGATGCATTTGAATCACAGTCCTCAATGCCCTTTGTGATCAAGAAATCCAATACAGGGCTGATGTTTCTGGGCTTACTAGCAATGGTACTCCAAAGTTTTTCAATTTCATCAGGGAATTGATCCCCATGTCGCCATGTGACATAGTAAAGACTTTTTAGTAATCTTTCACTCCAACCCGAATCCTTGAGTTTCCAGAAATTAAGGTTCTCAATCCATGGAGCCATACAAGTCAAGACCTGGTGTTGAGCAATTATATCAACAGCATCAAGCTGACGCTGCATAATTTCTTCACAAAGCAGCTGGCTTAACTCAGGATGATCCTTGGCGAGTTTGCAAGAGAGCTTGTACTGGAACTGTTGATATGAATCTGGAAGATTACCTACAACTGCTGCTCTATAGCCTCCTGAACCTTCTATACCATCCTCAGCCCACTCACGCATAGAAAGTGTCTCAAGCATTTGAAGAGCATCATCGCGAATCTGTCTAGATGGATCGACTACCTTGTAGAGAATTAGACTCAAGAGCCTCTGGATTTCACATTTAGGAATTTCTTGTCTCATGTAAACCTCAGCTAACACACTGAAGTACCCATCAGCTATAGCCGCATCAGAATAGTAGCACTGGGAAAAGCACAGATGAATTAGGTCATGCAGTTTATAAGAGTCTTATTAAGGATGAAGTCACACAGATGAGCAAAACATAGAAATGGAAAAAGCTTATCAAGAGAATTCAGATGCTTAAACTAGAGCTAATAAAACAAATCTATCTGATGCTTAAACTAGAGCTAATAAAACAAACCATCATGCATGGATATAAGTTGTGATCATTGGTCAAGATATATCAAACATTTGATCTAGTAATTACAATGATGACAGTATAATTAGACAAAACTTTCATGCATTCAGTCAGTGAGAACTTTACCTGATCGATGCAGGCAGGAAAGAGATCCAAGTTTGTTAGTAGAAGATTCTTCAGAGCCAATTTTGCCAACGCAACACGTTGATGACCACCTCTATGCCTGTCACGGCCTGTCGTCCCTCGTCCACCGTCTCCTGTGTATTTGGAGTAAGATGGAGTTCTTGGATCAGCAGGAGAGTAACCAAAAGGGACCCTGGGCGCAGGCTCAATGAATAAACTATTTATCCAAAATATCACACGGCCACTCATTTTTCTCGCATTGTCATCAAAACACGGTCCATATAGAAGGGAAGCCATTGCATTCAACGAGGCCCACTGTATGGCTTCAATTTGCTCATTCAGTTCCTTGTCAAAAGAAATCTTGTCTACAGAATCTTTTGACCGGTTATGCTGTGAGGTTTTATAGCGCTCTACTTCACGGCGATAATCACTAACACCATCCTGTCCCCATGTACTTCCTGTATCATCAGACCAGGTAAGAAGTAGATCGAATAGACGTTTCCTACTTCTAACATCAAATTTCTCTGATTTTGATTCAACAAATTCAGGGGCAAGGAATCTTAAAACAGATGCAAGTGCATAGCGCAGAGGTTGCATGTCCTGAAAGCTTTCATGAGCTGCCGACGATATCTGTCTTGTTGAATCTTCAATGAACCGCAGATAATGGAGGCGAAAAACTGGTTTACGAGCAAGCATTCCAGGCCAGACGTTCTCAGACACTGTTCGGTATATATTAGAAACATGAACACGGAGGTCCTCTCTTCGACCTCCTTTTTGGATCTGCATTCATATCATAGGAACACATTTTTTTAGATTCAAGTCTCAATATTAATTATCCAGCTGAGTATTAATGTAACAGAAATGGTGGAGAGGAAACAATTGGTCATTATTTCACATTCAGGGAGAAATCAGCACAATCTTGTCATTAAGAAAATGCTGGATACTTCCATTCCCTCAACTCTAATGATTCAAAATGAAGCTCAATAAAGCCAGATATAGGGTACAAATGATGGCAGTAATTTCTAGTACTTTTCATTCATGAGATTTCCTTACTTGTTCTCACGTTTGTTTTTTTCTTTTGCGTAGCTACTTTTTTGTGAATTGAAAAGGAAGTTTTCTAATCTTTCAAACATGATAAACAGAACCACTATAAATCTGTGCAGTCCGACAGTTGCATAGTGAGTGGTGTAGGACTTCCAGGTATAATTCTGAAAGAAAGTGATCTACATGATTTTACAATTAGCTCAAGTATATACCTTCCACTTTGGCTTCGTCTCTGTCTCCG